TAAGACTAGAGGGAAGGCAGCAAGTCATCACCACCCACTGCCAACTCTTGGGCTACTCTTTTACCAATGAATAGTGGGATTGATCTTCACATTATAATGTCCCCACGGCTGAAAGGGCGAGCATGTTTGGTATGACAGGGAATTGAACCCGCGACCCTCAGATTGCGAGTCGAGCACCTTAACCACCTGGCCATACCGGGCTGATAAAAAGTTAAAGACTGAGTTAATTCTAATTACCAAAAGTTATGTTAACCTTAAACATTTGTAAACCAAGACATTTATATCATTATAAATATTAAATTACTTTTGCTTGAAATCACATTTAATCCTTTACTAATGGCTGCTGGACTTCCACTACATGAGCAGAATGGAGGAACAAATGCCTTTTAACAAAAATCTTTAAAATATGTTAGTGTTCACTTCACCCTTAGCAGCCTATAATTATGAATAGTCCATCAAAAAGTTAATGTTTATAAATTATCCTTACCTTAACAAATTGACTACCAAGGCATTCCACAAGAACAGTTACAAATGGATCTAACATTTCCATATGTTCTTGGACACTTGGCAATACTTTATCTCTCTTCAGGCAAACATGAAGCAACTAGAAGAAAAGGTGGATTATATAAAATTAGTTATTTCATAATACACGTTTTCACATTAAAAAATAATGATACCTCATTAAATAACAATTTTAAATGCATAGGACAATGCATTATTCATGAAACATTTACATGTATGGGACTACTTCCAAGAGCACACAGATTATGATGGTAAGTGCTGATCCATTTCTGAATCTATATTCAACAATTCTATTTAACAACTATATACATTGTAAATATAACTTAACAGCAATTACTTTCCTACACATATATATATATCTAATTTTTATTTAGTTTGTTATGTGTGAAGTAAATTTCTCTGCTATTCATATGGAGCAAATAACAGAGCCAAACATTTATTTTCATTACTCATTACTTGTATGTATTAGTGAAATATATCTAGTATTTATATCTATTAATTTCTTATATTTTTAATGTTTTAAAAAACAAATAAACTGTACTGTTAACACAACAAGGTAAAAAAGTTTTGGGAAGCCCAAAATTAATTGTTTAAATAATCTATCTAATAATCTAGATAACATTAATCATATTTCCAAAAGTAATGAAGATCAGCTTTGTATAATTTCAGAAAATCATTGTTATCTACCATCACAGCTGATTTTGAAAACAGCACACAAGTTCATTTGGCTGTGATCGAGAATCTTTACCTGAAGTCCAAACTCTACAAGGACATGAGCATTTGTTTTCTTGCTTAGTTTAACAGGCAAGCCACCTCTTGGAGGTTCTGCTGGTATACTATAGATATCTGGTCGTTGCGTTTTGGGCTCTGTAGAGTGATGTGGAGCTCGAGAACTATTTCAAATGAAATTGTTAATAAAGCTGCAGTAGCATGTCTATTATTTCATATTCAATTTCTAAATCACCAAAATTTTAAATGTAGAAAATATAGAAAGAAACAAAAGTCTTGTCTATGAGACCAACCATCTTTAATGCCACATTTTTTCTTAAAATAAAACAAGTGACATGCCTTTTGTTATCATAAAAATATTCAACATTTTCACTTAATAACATAAGATTATGATTCAATTCTCAGAAACATAACTACAAGTCAGAAAATAAAATTTTAAAATGTACTACAATACTTATTACAAAATGCAAATATTTTTAGTTACTTACAATAATGTATTAATATATTCATGTTTAGCAAACCCCAATGTATGTGACATTGAGAAACAAACAGATAAAAACATAATTCATTCAAACAAACATCATTGAAGAAAATCCCAAATAAAACATAGAAGCCACACTGCAAGATTTACATATGTGATAGGAAAGTACCACATATCTTATTCTCCTATACATTTTATGTTTTGTAACATTTTTACATAATTTTCTAATACTAATTTGGAACATACTAAATCCACATGGTCATGTGCAATATGCACAAAAAATAAAGGACAACTTTTAATGTTTGTGTAAAAATATTAACAAAATAACACATATCTCTACATATACATTGTGGTATTACATATACACATATAACTATTATTTCTGGTCAATATATTAATGTTATTTCCATCACTTTAAAAGCTGAAATGGAGTATCATACACATGATACATAGATAATCACATATTACTCTCCTACAGTATACATTTCCTAATTACAACAAATTTAACAAATTTTCTAGCTCTAAAATGAATGATAATAAATCTGATTTATGATTATGTAGTAATTCTACCCCGAGTGTTATTCTCTGTAGGAAGATCTAGTCATGGTAACTATCTAGTGTTTCATGGGATAGATTTAGTGTGTTCTACTGTATATGTGAGACCGCCCTAAGAGTGTAACATGAAGTAGAATGTGATCTAATTTCCTGACTGGTCAACTACAATTCAACATAGAATGTGAGTGTAGTTTGACATTTTCAATAAGAATCATTTCTAATTTGAAAAACTTGAGATTTTGTGGAAATTTCAACTGTATGTTTCCTGAGAAGTGTTGTGATGATTATGTCCCTTTATTTAATATATGAATCAATAGTTTTTGTTCATTTTAAAATAAAGTTTGGTTAATTGGTTTGGAAATGTAATTTGATCAAAATGGTATAAAAGATAGCAACAATGGACAGCACTGAACATTTCAGGTTAAACATAATTTATTTTAAGCAGTTTACTATAAAAAACGTAATTTCTTCATTTTTTGTGGTAAACTGCTAAAGGTGGATTACATTTAATATAAAATATTCAATAAAATTTTGTTTATTATTGCTATAATCTTTATTTTTTGATCAAGGAAAGTTTATTTTCATTTCCTTTCATGAAATAGTTTCTTTTATCTATTACACTTATATACACTTTATCATATTCTAACTTCAATATTACAACACAATAGATTGCTATTAAACACGACCAGCCACCCATCAGTTTTCTGTTTTCCTTCCAATAATAGTGTTTTTGTTCACCTTCAACTCTTCTCACTTATAAAAAATTACTACACCTGTCTTTCTGTTATTGTTATATCTCCAGTTATTGGTAAAATCATGATCTATGTTAGAATTATTCTTGGAATATCACACACATATATCCAGTTGTTCTATAATACGTATACAGTAAGCATGTTTATTCATGAATAAGCAGACTATATGTTTTGTTTTCTAAATCATTATCCACAAGTTGAAGACGAGTCTACATTACTTAAGTGATCATATGCTGTCCAGTACAATAATGATATGGCTTACAACAGTTTTAACAGAAGTTTCTTAATACTCAATATAGAAGAATTTAGTAGAGGTGATTTCTTCTTAAATAACTTTAAAATTTTTGCTGCTTCACTCAAGTATTAATAAGTACTATTTTCTGAATAAGACTGATGGTGTGCTCTGGATTATAAACAAGTATATTTTCCTGACATATCTGTGCTGTATTTTTATTACTACAATATATTGATGCAGGAGTGTCTGTGCATGATTCATTATTTCAAGCCTATTAATTTTGTTGATACAGAAAAATAAATGTACAGATTCGTATAAATCACAATAACAGTAAAAACATTAAGTAAAACTTAAAAGTTCTTCAGTGATCATCCTCACACACACAAAAAAATCAATCTTCAATGAAAAACATATTCCAAAAAATTGACTTTAAAAATAAATCTTATACCTTGCAGTAACATTAAATGAAGACAGTTGTATTTTACAAGCCTCCCAGTCCATTAAAAAAGTTAGCTAAAAATAAACTATAACATTTAAATTCATTTCTCAAAAGCAGTTGATGTCATGAGTGGTTAGAGAAACTGTTTGATGGATCAGTTGTTTTGTTTTCTAGCAGCTCAGTTTTATTGTACACATTTCACTTAATTTTTATCAAAATGTCTGTTTGTTGTGCTCCTGATTGTAACAAAACTGAGAAAACATCCCCAGGATTACCTTTTTTTTAGTTTACCTTGGGATAATACAGAGAAAATCAAGTTATGGCTTGCAAAGCTTAAACTTGTACACCCAACAGATAAAACAGCATGAATATGTCATTTTAAAGAACGATTTTTGCTTGTTAATCCTAAATATGAGATTGCACCACATTTGTACAGAAAGAAAATGATATTTTTGTCTTCTAAGGAATTCCTATCTATTTTTTCTCACAAACAACCATGACAGGAAATGAAAAGTAAAGAGAACAGAAATAGAAAATGTCAAAAGACAGTGGAGAGTTATGAGAAAATATTCATAGAAAAATAGTGAACACTTGTAAATAAAATAAATTGATAAGTGTAAATAATTAAAAACATAGTCTTCTGTTTCTTTTTCCTAATTTACCATGCACTCAATACGCATAATACCTATAAGCTTGACATACAAGATCTGAAATTAAGATTATTATTATTGTTGTTATTATTATTACTAATGTTGTTGCCACAAACAATTCTAAAATGAATTTCATCAGTTTGGGATTGTATCAGAATGACTTCAAATTGTAAGATGAAGCTACATTTATTTATTCTAAATAGCTTTAAACTCATAACTATTTATACTTAAATTTTATTGCTTTATTGTCCTTAAACCTTGTCTAAATATTATTTGCACCATTATAAGTTGTAAATCACTCAGTGAATGTGCAGCTCAAGTTACTCTATCGAATTACATTACACACGAGCTACTTGCGAACATGCCTTATGAATATTTTTTATATTATTATTATTATTATTTATTTTACCTAATCTATCTTTAACTAACC